AGAAACAATATTTTTTTTTAACAGTAATTTAGTAGTCTCATATTTTCATCATTATTAATAGTATTATTCATAGCAGCGGTGTCAAATTCTTTGCTCTTCTGGTTTTTAATCAAGTCATTAAAAATTTTTTTGTTGCTGTGGTTATGTAGAAGAGGCAGAAGGTTTTCTAGAGTATCCAGTTTGGTTTTCTTCATTGGAATTGGCAGAATGTATTCATGTTCTAAATTTATTTCTTACATTTTTTATTTTAATTGCTGGTTTTCGATTTTTTTAAAAAAATTTGTCAGTTGCACTTTTTATATCAAAAATGATGGATTGGTCGACTTTGACAACGCTAAAAGGTGACGGTTTACTTCGTGATTGTAAAATAACATTATCCCATCCCTCTGGCGTCTCAACTCTTTCCATTTTTCGCTTTTTTCTTGAAATAAGGAAAGAATTCTGGTCATTAGGAAAATAAGAATGACCTCTTACAGGAAACAAGTAAGTTATAGAATCAAACAGATTAAGACCATGAACTAACACATATAAAAAATGCAACATGGTGTAGTTTTTATCCTGACCCGGACAGCCATCACTAATCAAAACCAAATTTCTAGACATATCATTGGTATTAAAGTAGTTCAATAACATAGAAGCAACGTCGATTGATCCCTTCTTTGCTATATCTTCTGTGTAAGTCATAGCCCTCAGAAAGTCTAGATACCGCTTGGCGTATACTGTCAATACAAAAAAATGACCCCATTCAAGCTTGTCGCCATGTTAGGTAAATTTATGTTTTGGCTACACTGATTTTTAGTTTGTGTGTTCTGTAATACGTGAACACCGATAATCTGCACTTTGTTATTAGTTATAAGTGAGTGAGACGCACAATTTCTAATTTCAAATTAAGAACAAAACTTTGACAAACCTATTTGATTTTCCTAGATCTGTTCAGACAGGACCGGTTTTATAAAATTTCTTGTTCTTGAAATGTTATTTTTACATGGTTACATATTATTGGATAAGTGGTTTGTGTACATATTGCTATGAGAATTATAGAGAAATTCAGTGAGATTTATGTAATATAATTCAAATTACAAGTAAACCATCTGTTCCTGTTTGGCAATATGGAGAAAATACCTACTTCAATGTCAAATGTACTATTTAAAAGAATGTGATTGTTAACCGGTCATTTATTTATATTATATTATGAAAATAAAAACTCGAATTTTTTAACTAGGGAAAGATATACTTACATCGGTAACAAGGTATTTTTAGAAAAACTAATAGATTACTCCTATTCCTATAGTTTATTTAAAAATGAATAATAGCAAAATTATATAAAAATATGGACCTTTGCCATAAAAACTGTGCTACCAAGCATTTTCAAATAAACTATAATGATAATTTGATTTAATAGAGCGAGTATAAGATCTCACCTGTTAGAGAAATTGGGGCATAGGGAAGAGATTATGAAGCAGGTAAGCGAAGTCATTGCAAAAGATAAATATATAGAAGGTATTTTAAAAATTTGATAAAAAACTAGTGGAACAAGAAATGGAGTTGTCGCTATCGGAGATCCAATCAGCAGAAAGTAAAAAGAAACTTTGGGAATGTTGGAAAAGGGCACAGCAATAGGCCCAAAACAATTCCTTGGTTTCTTAATAAATATAATCTGAGATGCAAAAAATACTGCTAGAGTGGAGAAGCAGTATTGTTCTAATGTAGAAAACCCAGGGACATACAGCAGTGCACTAACCATAGGCGAATAGTCACTAAATTATACAAGAGTACCATCTCGATTTTATTTTTAAATATTTTTGAGAATACCTATTATTATTTGTTACATTGAGTTTAATAAAACCACAGATTTCGAATGTATTGAAAGTTATTTAAAAAGTACCTCTATAAATATATAGAAAATGTGTATATGACTAACTGGTTTTATTAATCTTTTTTTGGGGTAGGTAAATATATTTTGAAAAATTTACAAACTTCTTTTGAATAAAAGACAAAATATTTCTGTTTTTATTAACTGAACAATATTTTATACGAACATAATATATACCTATTTAAAAGAAAATATTACATTTTACAAGTATCGCATATTTATATGAAATAACTAACTCAATAAGAAAGAATTAAATGAAACAAATTAATAAACAATGGATATGAAAAATTGCTATAACAATTTAATCCTTAGATAAACTTATTCTTTTATCAATTTATTTACTATAAAAGTATATTTCCTATCATTTATTACATATAATAAAATAAAGCATAAAACATACAAACTATAATATGTACCTACTTAGAACGGAACTAATATTATTGTATCAAGGTAGTAATAGTGGACATTTTCCGAATAAAAAAAAGTAAAAAAGAAGTAACGGTCGACACGTTTTTCTGACTATTGGTCTTCATAAGTACGGTGCAGTCAATTTCAAAGGATCATGGAACTTGTGTTGGAAAAATTGTACAATAGGTCACTAACAAGGAGCCAATAACACATTTGCCGTTTCAGCTAGTATCCCCAAATTTTCTGGGCTTATACTAAAGTCACAAAATGATTCAATGGTCTTCCTATGGCTATCAGTTATTCTTTCCTAACATTTTTTGGTATGCTACAACAAAACATACAAATTATTTGATTTTGTAAATACACAAATATTTGTGAAAACTTACACATGAAATGTTATTCCTTCCTTGTATCTTCTACCGTTAGATGCATTGTTACATTCACGTACAAAACAAAAAGAGATTTTGAAAATCCTGTAAAAATTTAACACCAAACCACAAATGTTTTTTATTAAAATAAAACACTAAACGACTAAACTAAAAAATAATGTTTTAAATAAAACCTTTACTAGAAGAACAAAGTAAACAACACAACAGATAATAAAATCGATTATATACGTCGAACGCCGATCTTACGCTTATTACTAAACTTGCGCCGATTCTGTCTTGTCAGTAGTGCCAACTTAAAATTTATTGACATTTATTTATCATGGCGCCCATCATATGGGGGGTCAAAATGTTTTTACGATGCGGTATCTAGACCTTCTGAGGGCTATGGTGTAAGTATATATTGTTACATCGTTACTACCTAAATCGTGGATTTTCAACACGTAATACCATATTGGTCTTGCAAAAATTACTGGATTGGAAGGAATATGTAAATTCTGCATAAAATCAAAAGTAATACAAGAAATTTTGCCTGCTCTAGCCTGTTCTTTGTAGACACGTTTTTTGCTGGTGAATGCTGCAGCTTTTCTTAAATGAAGTTCTTTTTGCATTTTGCAAGAAGCCTTATCGGCGTCCGAAATGCTCTTATTGCTCAAGGTATGTTGACATTTGTCACATTCTGCACATGTGTCTGAACGGGAATATCCAAACTTTATATTAAATTTAGTTTTAAAGATTTTCCAGTACATTTTGTAGGAAACGTTAAGGTAGTACTCCTATAGAAAAGTCTTGTGCATATCTTTCACTGTTAACTCGGTTGATAGGTACAGCTGATTTGGATTTTTTCGAAATAAGTCATGAGACTGAATTGGAAAATTGTACATATATGATTCATAATAAGGATAGTAGCTTCTTTGCTATAGTTTCTAGAGCCGCAAGTATGTTTGCCCCTCATATCTCTGGGTGCACAATCATTTTCTACTAGTGATAACTGAATTCTTTTTAAGCGGGGCAATGTACCTGCATGAATGCTGGCAAATGCTTTGACACAAACCGTCTTATCTGTATTAAAACATCGCACCTGGTATGAATATGAAGCACAATGTGGTTTATTGTTTACCCTATTTCGTCTTCTGTGTCTGTTTATATTATTGATTGTTATTAGGCCAGTCAAGTATGCGTCTTGTTCGTTTTTGTCATGCATTTTATAGAATTCGGTAAAACAGCGTTCACGTGCTTCAATCGAAACGTTTTGAAAACATTTTAAACGTTTGCATTTGAAAAAAAAGTAAAGCAGTAAATAAAAAATAGTATTTAACATTAGTCAACGCAAATATATCTGCAATCATCTCCTATTATTACTTTTTGTGTTATTAGTTTTTTCTTATAATTATAATGTTCTAAACCTTTTACTTTAGCTTTATTAAGGACCGTCTTTGGATGTTCTTTATTTTGTTTCTTTTCTTGCCACTGAGCACCTTCTGCTTCTTTATTATTGTTTTTTTTTTTTATTCATTTTGTCCGCTGTAATAAAATAAACAACCTATCTCTTTGAGGAACATTCATAAACTAACACAAACAAAAAACAACGTGTGCTTTGAATCGCATTTCTTCTGTAACTGTCACATCTTATGGACATGTGACTTTCTTAGAGAAAACAACATGGACTTGTGAGGTTTTTACGGGATCAGAGAAATTTCATTCTCAGTTTTTAGGGAAGTTATAAGGTTTTTACAAGAAATCATTATTCGTATACGTTTATATGGGAGTTAGGTAATTTTAAGCGGCAATATCTATTATTTGACAAAATAGGACTAATGAGGTTTTTCCGAGCAACGCCTCAAACGTTCAGAAAGGATATTTAATTTATACACTTGTCTTATTATTACTTATTATTTGTTTAATGTATTTTTCTGCTTACAACTGTTATTATAGCTAAAGATGATTTCCAGGAAAATATATAGTGTGGAAACGGTATAAATTAGAAATCGTAAGAGCTTGGTTATTTATAAAACGCGAGCTCGCACATACAATCCCCACTAAATTTAGTAGGCGTCTAGCTATTTCTATTACGGCAGAAGATTAGGTAGCTCTGAATAACATAGAACAGCTAAATACTTGTAAATAATTAAAGGATGCATTATGAATTAATGGATTAGACGTTGACCTAATTTTAATCAATCCAGATTATTATTTTTGTTGAATTATTTACCTACATGAAATTTGTATATTGGCGCCGCTTTATGTTTACTTGTTGCGTATATAAGCAAAAATGTACACGCTATAATATCTGAAATAGCCAATCATAAATACTAAAATATTTTTCTTTTCAGGATTCAAAATACATGTTGATACCATGGATATGTAATATAATTGTTTTCATAATGGCGGATTTTACATACGTAATCTACAGTTTAATAGTCCATGCTGTAAGTAAAATTTACCTTATTTGTATTTTTTCCAACAATTTTTTGATATTTTTACGTTTTTTATTTCATCTCCAAACTGATTTTGTTTACATTTCCATTATTAAACTGCTCGATTCAGCTAATATCCGGTTTGAAAGGATCTAAGTGAACTTTAGTGTAATCCTATTAGTTTAATTGGTTCTCTTGATACACAATTCTGTTAAAATGTTCTTGCTGGCCCTATGTACATCAAACACTTAAGAATATAACGACTAAAGTGGAACTTGAGAAAATTGAGTATCTGCACAAATAATGGACTTCGTTTAATAAAAGCTGATTTAAATCCTTTCAGTTTATTAGTTATTTAAGAAAGAGTAGAACGTTGTGATTCTTTTTTTTTTAGATTGCCATTGTTGGATTAGATATTTTCAGTGGAAATAAGGTTCGTGAGTACGTGTGTTTAAAAGATTTATTAAAATATGTAGGAATAGAATAAAAAATGTACCTATCAAAAATGATAACTATTAATCAACTTAATATAAAAGGTGCTTGATTGATATTGACTAAACGGCCAACTTCATTTAACAAATAAGACCGTCATCTTCAACACTTTTGCCTGTTAAAGTTAAAGTTAAACATAGTTTTGCAGATAAAATTTGTAGACGTTTTCTTTGAAGAGCCTTATTCATTATACCAGCCACCTGCAGTTCTGCTCAATTCGTATAATACCTTTATATTGATTTTTTCTCAAACAAAGAAATGTTTTTTAGCTATATGTTTCGTTTGTCGATGAAACTAAGGATTTTGAGCTAGTTTCACTGCTGCATAGTTATGAAGGAAGGAAAGCATTATATGGTAAAGCTTTCGCTCCTTCTAGTAAAAATGTTAGCTCCTCCCCATGTTTGGTTTTCTTTTAAAGACGTCAAACAATATGTTTCAGGAGTCTTAATTGTATTAACAAAATATTCTACAATAAAGAAGCTCTTAAAAATCTGGACTCTTTAATGTTGATCTACTTCTTACATTAGGTATAGAAGATGTTGTCATTGTAACCTCCAAAACCGGGGTTACGGTGTATCGGTTGTATGCAATAGCTTAAAAGATGAATTTTTAGAAAAATAAAGTAAATCATAACTTCCAAAATCAGCTTTGAGACACGATCGGAACTAGTACAGTAATTAAAGCCGTTGTCTTACTATATAGAGAAAAATTTTCAACTTTACAAATATACGGCGTCATATGAATAAATAAATGAAAAACAAAAAGAAATATTTGAAAAAATTGCTTTATTTATTGTAGTAGTTCCGATCATGCCTCAAAGCTGATTTTTTAATTTCCTATATGTATACAGATAAGGAAAGTATAGGAATCATGTTTTTTTCGACTTCTAGTTTTCGAAGGATTTTTACGTTTTGGGGTTCCCTGAATCCGTTTTGACTATTTTCGGGATGATGTCTGTGTGTGTGTGTGTGTGTGCGTGCGTGTGCGTGTGCGTGTGCGTGTGTGTTTGTGTGTGTGTGTGTGTGTGTGTGTGTGTGTGTGTGTGTGTGTGTGTGTGTGTGTGTGTGTGTGTGTGTGTGTGTGTGTGTGTGTGTGTGTGTGTGTGTGTGTGTGTGTATGTATGTGTGTGTGTGTGTGTGTGTGTATAAGTGTGTGTGTGTGTGTGTATAAGTGTGTGTATGTGTGTGTGTGTGTGTGTGTGTGTGTGTGTGTGTGTGTGTGTGTGTGTGTGTGTGTGTGTGTGTGTGTGTGTGTGTGTGTGTGTGTGTGTGTATGTGTGTGTGTGTGTGTGTGTGTGTGTGTGTATAAGTGTGTGTGTGTGTGTATAAGTGTGTGTGTGTGTGTGTCTGTATCCACCATAACTCATGAACACGAAATTTTAAAATTAAGCTTTATTCCAGCCTGCGGTGAACTGATTAGATTTTGGACAGAGGCGGAACATTTGGGAGGTACTTTATTGGTGGTCATTTTTATATTTTAAATATGAAATATATCCGTTATATCTCTATAATTTTAGTTTTTTATATGATTTTTCTAAAATGGACCGTATTGAAGGAAAAATGCTAAATTTAAATTTTTCAGTATTTTCGTTTTCAATGAATGTCTATAGAAAAATGTGTGTCTCTGTGTCGCATAACTCATATACCGATACACAGAATAACACCAAATTTTAAACTGAAGTGTCCAATGAACTGGTTAGATTTTGGACAAAGTCGGAACATTTGGGGGGTACTTTATGGGAGGCCGTTTTTATATTTTATGGAATATGTCTGTTATTTATATTTAGAGAAGAAAATTGTTCAAATAAAAGTTACTTCTAATATTATTATCTATAATTTTGGCTTGATGTCAAAATTTCCTGAAATGGTCCGTATTCGAGAAATTTGACAAAATGTGCAAAATTCTGATTTTTATGAAAATTGTTGAACTAAAATTTGTTTGCGATATCGATCTCTATAATTTTTGTTTATACATGATTTTTCTAAAATGGACCGTAATGGAAAAATTGGAGGAAGAGTCCTAAATTTAAATTTTTCAGTATTTTCGTTTTCAATGAATATATATAGAAAAATGTTTCGAGGTAGATGTATGTGGACAATGTATATATTTAGTTTATTCTCTAAACATTTATAGAGGTGCTGCAATAGGTTGTACAAAATAACCGGAAAAGCTTATAATAACTAGATAGGAAATTCATGTGTTGGACACATTAGATTTTTACCCTTTATTTTTTTATTCGTATGATGCCCGTATATTTGGGAAATTAAAATTTTTACTCTAAATAGTAGAACAATGGCTTCATTTAATGTACCAGTTATAATCGTGCCTCAAAGCTGATTTTTAAAGTTAAGATTTATTTTAATTTTTCCATCTTTTTTTTTTCTTAATTTTTTATTCGCATTACGCCGTATATTTGGAAAGTTGAAATTTTTACTCTAAAATACTAAGACAATGGCTTTATTTATTGTACTAGTTTTGATCGTGTCTCAAAGCTGATTTTTAAAGTTATGATTTATTTAAATTTTTCTAAAAATTCATCTTTTTTTTCTTAATTTTTATTCGTATGACGCCGTATATTTGGGAAGTTGAAATTTTTACTGTAAATAGAAGGACAATTACTTTATTTGTTGTTTTGGTTCCGATCGTAGCTCAAAGCTGATTTTTGAAGTTATGATTTATTTTAATTTTTCCAAAAAATTCATCTTTTTTATTCTTAATTTTTTATTCGTATGACGCCGTATATTTGGGAAGTTGAAATTTTCACTGTAAATAGTAGGACAACGGCTTTAATTACTGAAAAAGTTTTAATTGTGTCTTAAAGCTGATTTTTAAAATTATGATTTATTTTAATTTTTTCAAATATTTATCTTTTTTATTTTTTATTTTTTATTTTTTATTAGTATGAAGCCGTATATTTGGAAAGTTGAGAATTTTTCTCTAAATAGAATGATAATGGCTTTAATAACTGTTCCAGTTCTGATCGTGTCTTAAAACTGATTTTTTAAGTTATGATTTATTTTAATTTGTTCAAAAATTCCTAATTATACTCTTTAATTTTTTATTCGTATGACGCCGTATATTTTGGAAGTTGAAATTTTTACTGTAAATAGTAGGCTCATTTTTGAAGTTGTGATTTATTATAATTTTTCCAAGAATTCCTTTCTTTTATTTTTTTTGTGTCATAGGCTTCAACTACTCTGGTTATTTCGCCTCGTGTTCTGTATAGGCTCTGGTACTGTTTACTACTTTAGGAACAGCACGTTATTGAGAACCCAACAGTGAATGGTCTATTTTTTGTTTCGTATTACTTCATATATTTGAAAAGTTATTTTGGCGCCGGTTCTTTATTGTATTGGGTATATAGAAAAATTTGACAAAACGTTCTATAGACTGTATATAATTCAGTACTATACTTTTTTAGCGGAACCACTATTACACCTACACTCGATTTTTGCCAACTATTAATTAATGACGTCACTAAATATAGTTTTAAAATATTTTAAACCGATATGGCGGCTAAAAAACAGCTCATGTGCCTCTAATTAGTTCAAAGATTTTAGCTTTGGTTTTAAATATTTCGTACGTAATGTCATAGTTGCATTGCTAAATTTTCAACTATTTTTCATTTTTTATTTTGTATGCTTTTACCATATTTTGAGTAGAAAAAAAAATATTTTAAACCGTTTTAGAGTAAGAGTAAAAAATCACTTCTAAAATTTCTACTTTAACATCCTGTACGTTTTTTTACTATTCTTTTTTTATATAAACATTTTGAGCAATAAGATACTGAATAATATAAAAGGGTACACATTTTTTAAAGTTGGTCTACAAAAGTATCTTCGTTGCTATTACCTAACAGATTACTTGTAACTGCCACGCCCTGTATCTATAATATTTAAGATATATTTTTTTGAATAAAGTAGATAAGCAATGTATACTTCAATAACTTGATTCAACACAAACAAAATTATACCGTTATCCAGATTTTATTACTTCTTGTTCTTAGCCAAACTCGCAAAACCCCAAAGTATCCCCAAATTTTTACGAAATCCTATTTTAACAACAAATAATGGTGTTCTTAAAATAAACAGCATTGCAGATAAGATAAAAAGAAAACAGAAAACGATGTTCTTTGTTTGTTTTTTGTTTTATTTTTTGCTAATAGCAAACACTTTTTATGTTACGATCAAATAAAAATCGGTATATGATGAACGTGAAACAAAAAAAGATTAATCATTAGCCTGCAAACAGCCCAAAATATGGACCAACGTATTCATGTGAAGTAAATTTAATTAACTGGCGAATGCACAAAGGGATAAATTCTGTTGGAGTTGTTAGCACAATTTAATCGCCATAGGCGTAACATGGAACTAATGGTTTCATAACAAATTAAAGATGTGATAAGTAGAATGAAATGTATTTATAATAATTTTAAAGCAAACCGCTTTAGGCATTTGTCATGCTCAGGGTTTTTTGGTCATGTTCGGATACATTTGTGATTATATTAGAAATAAAAAATT